ATTACCGGCCGATCAGTTTGACGTCAGTAGTGGGGAAATTTCTTGGATCAATTACAGCAGGTAGCATCCGATCGCATCTAGAGAAAAGCAAATTAATCTACGACCCGCAACATGGGTTTACAAAGGGAAAATCTTGTCTAACAAATCTGCTGAATTTTTTAGGAAAGTCTTCGAGGTAGTAGATAATGACGAAAATTATGATGTTATTTACTTAGACTTTAGCAAAGCATTTGACAGAGTACAGCATCAGAGGCTTCTGAGAAAAATTAAGGCTCATGGTATCGAGGGGAAAGTTTTAAATTGGATAAAATCATGGCTCACCGATAGAACGCAGAGGGTCAGCGTAGATGGTGTTAAATCTGAGTGGGGCAGTGTAACCAGTGGGGTTCCCCAGGGGTCAGTACTAGGCCCACTCTTGTTCATAAGAACATAAGAATGGAGGAAACTGAAGTGGGCCTATTGGCCCATACTGGGCAGTCCCGTTTACACCCAACCCCTATTGCTCACATAAGCATCCAACCTATGTTTGAAGCTATTCAGCGTATTCGAGTTAATGATGATAATTGGTAACTTGTTCCATTCATCCACTACTCTGTTTCCAAACCAGTGTTTATCTATTTCACGCCTAAATCTAAATTTGTCTAATTTAAAACCATTGTTACGAGTTCGCTCCTAGTTGGATAGTTTGAGTACCTTTGTAATGTCCCCTTTGTTTAGCCCTGACTTCCACTTATACACCTCTATCAGGTCGCCCCTCGCTCTACGTCTCTCGAGGGAGTGCAAATTAAGATGCTTTAACCTGTCTCTATACTCAAGGTTCCTAATGCCCGGATTAGTCTTGTCATTCTCCTCTGAATTCTTTCCAATGATTCTATATCCATTCTGTAATACGGTGACCAGAACTGAACTGCGTAATCCAGGTGTGGTCTCACAAGAGCAAGATACAGTTTTAGGATGACCTCGCTAGTCTTGTAACTAACACTCCTTTGTATGAACCCAAGTACTTTATTAGCCTTGTTACGAGCAAAAACACATTGTTTACTTGGCTTAAGGTTCCTACTTATCATTACTCCTAAATCTCTCTCGCAGTCGGATTTCTCTATGGCATCGTTGTTCATCTGGTATCTGATTTCCCTGTTTACATCTCCTATACTGAGAAATAAGCAAAGCATTGAACAGCTACTTCTTATCAGTTTTCACAGAAGAAATTTGCGATGAAATTCCGGAGGTGGAACTGATATTTAAGGGAAAGGAAGAAGAAAAATTAAAGAATATCACTATCAGAAAAGAGGATGTTTTTAAGAAGATAAATAAACTAAAGAATACAAAATCCCCAGGGCCGGATGAAATTTTTCCTCGAGTGTTAAAAGAGTGTAGGGAACAGATTAGCGGACCCCTCGTAAACTTATTTACAAAATCATTAGACACTGGAGTTGTGTCAGAGTTGTGGAAACAGGCAAATGTAGTACCCATATTCAAAAAGGGAGACAGAGCATCGGCGTCAAATTACCGGCCGATCAGTTTGACGTCAGTAGTGGGGAAATTTCTTGAATCAATTATAGCAGATAGCATCCGATCGCATCTAGAGAAAAGCAAATTAATCTACGACTCTCAGCATGGGTTTACAAAGGGAAAATCTTGTCTAACAAATCTGCTAACGTTTTTTTAGGAGTCTTCGAGGTAGTAGATAATGACGAAAATTACGATGTTATTTACTTAGACTTTAGCAAAGCATTTGACAGAGTACCGCATCAGAGGCTTCTGAGAAAAATTAAGGCTCATGGTATCGAGGGGAAAGTTTTAAATTGGATAAAATCATGGCTCACCGATAGAACGCAGAGGGTCAGCGTAGATGGTGTTAAATCTGAGTGGGGCCGTGTAACCAGTGGGGTTCCCCAGGGGTCAGTACTAGGCCCACTCTTGTTCATAATCTACATAAACGATTTAGATACTGGGATCAGCAGTGACATAAGCAAGTTTGCGGATGACACCAAAATAGGGCGGCAAATTAATTCAGGGCAGGATGCAAATGCATTACAGGAGGATCTAAATAAACTGCAGGGGTGGTCTGAAAAATGGCAAATGAAATTCAACACCAGCAAGTGCAGCGTACTTAATATTGGAAGAACAAATACTTATAATGTATACAGCCTTAACAACATCAACCTAGAGAAGTCGACTTGTGAAAGAGACCTAGGGGTACTTGTAAGCCCGGACCTACGGCCTAGAAAACAGTGCGTTAATGTTCGAAATAAGGCAAACAGAGTATTGGGTTTTATATCTACAAGTGTAACAAGAGTGCAGAGGTCTTATTGCAACTATATCTTGCGCTAGTTAGGCCGCACCTCGATTATGCGGTTCAGTTCTGGTGCCCCTATTATAGAATGGATATAAGTTCACTAGAGTCGGTGCAGCGAAGAATGACAAAAATGATTCCGGGACTTAGAAACCTTCCATATCAGGATAGGTTAAAGAAACTTAACTTGCATTCCCTAGAAAGACGAAGAGTGCGGGGAGATGTGATAGAAGTATTTAAGGTGGGTGAAAGGAATCAATAAAGGGGATATAGATAAAGTTCTTATAATATCCGAGCAGGACAGGACTCGGAGCAACGGATTCAAGTTGGATAAGTTTAGGTTTAGGAGGGAGATAGGAAGAAACTGGTTCACAAATAGGGTGGTGGACGAGTGGAACAAGTTTAGCAACTTTGTAGTAAGTGCGGGAACTCTGGAAAGTTTCAAAAGGAGGCTAGATAGATTCATGGATGATAGAGAGTGGTAGTAACTCTCGACAGGAGCTGCCATGCACAGGCCAACCGGCCTATTGCAGACTCCTTATTTTCTTATATTTCTTATGTTCACATTTGTCCACGTTGAATTTCATCTGCCATTTTTCAGACCATTCGAAAAATTTGTTTGGATCTTCCTGTAGTTTTGCTGAGTCCTCATCAGATTTAATAACACGTCCTATTTTAGTGTCATCAGCAAATTTACTTATGTTGCTGTCTATGCCGATATCTATGTCGTTTATGTATATAATAAATAATAATGGTCCAAGTACTGAGCCTTGGGGAACTCCACTTGTGACGTTGCTCCAATGGGACTTAGTGCCGTTAATGCTCACTCGCTGTTTCCTGTACTGTAACCACGCCCTAATCCATTTAAGGATGTTACATAAACGATCTAGATACTGGGATCAGCAGTGACATAAGCAAGTTTGCAGATGACACCAAAATAGGACGGCAGATTAATTCAGGGCAGGATGCAAATGCATTACAGGAGGATCTAAATAAACTGCAGGGGTGGTCTGAAAAATGGCAAATGAAATTCAACACCAGCAAGTGCAGCGTACTTAATATTGGAAGAACAAATACTTATAATGTATACAGCCTTAACAACATCAACCTAGAGAAGTCGACTGGTGAAAGAGACCTAGGGCTACTTGTAAGCCCGGACCTACGGCCTAGAAAACAGTGCGTTAATATTCGAAATAAGGCAAACAGAGTATTGGGTTTTATATCTAGAAGTGTAAGTAACAAGAGTGCAGAGGTCTTATTGCAACTATATATTCCGCTAGTCAGGCCGCACCTCGATTATGTGGTTCTGTTCTGGTGCCCTTATTATAGAATGGATATCAATTCACTAGAGTCGGTGCAGCGAAGAATGACGAAAATGATTCCGGGACTTAGAAACCTTCCATATCAGGATAGGTTAAAGAAACTTAACTTGCATTCCCTAGAAAGACGAAGAGTGCGGGGAGATATGATAGAAGTATTTAAGTGGGTGAAAGGAATCAATAAAGGGGATATACATAAAGTTCTTATAATATCCGAGCAGAATAGGACTCGGAGCAACGGATTAAGTTGGATAAGTTTAGGTTTAGGAGGGAGATAGGAAGAAACTGGTTCACAAATAGGGTGGTGGACGAGTGGAACAAGCTTAGCAACTTTGCAGTAAGTGCTGGAACTCTGGAAAGTTTCAAAAGGAGGCTAGATAGATTCATGGATGATAGAGAGTGGTAGTAACTTTCGACAGGAGCTGCCATGCACAGGCCAACCGTCCTATTGCAGACTCCTTATTTTCTTATGTTCAGTGATACCACCCACAGTGTCAAAACCTGACTGAATTACTCAGAATAGGCAAACTGTACTCCTAGCTTTGTCAATAAATTTGTTAAACTTAAAAATAAAAAATATAAACGGACAGAACTGAACGGGGGGCTAATTTTCTGGTTATCCGATTCTTTTTTCCAATTATTAATGTATATATGACATTAACATAGTTGTATGTTGACCCAAAACGAGGCATGTACTGTCTCAGTATCACAGTCAGGTGTGGGGCGGAATCATTAACTTTCGAATGAGCGCACCGCGGACCGGTCATCATTTAATAATTTCCGTTTTTAGATTTCTTCTAATATTTACCCCATTTTATTATAAATTAATTTGAATCTCAACATCATTTGAATATAATGTACTGTTGAAGGAGGATAGTTTAGTACACCATAAAATATGTAATCTAAATACAGACACAACTCTTGTAGTTTCGTGTGTACCCTTGAGTAATACTGAAGTGTAGAAATTAATTTTCTTTGATATATTTCACATACACATTTCACAGTTATTATTTTCTTAATGGCCAGTTCATAAAACTTAATGTCGTAATGCGAGAAACATTCGCTGGCTCTTTTCTCTTTGTTGACCCCGGATAATTTTGCCGCGTTCACTGTGAGTGAAACTGAATAGTAACATGAATTGCACCTTTTGTAGTTATTTTCTCCTCTTCAATGAACGTTCATTCATTCTCAATTTCTCTCTTTGATCAAAACCTTACAAACTCACATATGATGATACACTCTGAAAAAAATAATCAATATTTACATACACAGACTCAAACGTAGTACGCGTCCTCGCGGGATTTTTGACCAATCAGCGCACGAGAAGGCAACGGTAGGCGTGGCCTTTGATCAGCTGTCGACAAAAGCGTGCGTTTAGTGTGCTTCTGGACTGTGAGGTGAAAGGATACTAAAAAATTTTCCTCTGGCTGGCTTGGAGTGCTTGCGGTGAGTTTTCCCTTGTTGTTCCATATCACGTACCTTATGATACACTGATTCAATTGTGGAAAAGCAATGGTTAGATTGATTGGAATGAAGTACAAATTACAAGAAAATCACCTTTAACTGTTTAGACTGGAAGTGTGACCACTTCAGCTCCCTATCACCCGTGTTTGACTATGGGATTATTGTATATTCTGTACAGTGAATTTATGCTTAGTATCTCTGCTCCTAGATCACGGACAAACAGCTGACGGGTAAATTTAAAAGTAAATTATGCTATTGAATTTTTTTTGTGTATTTCAATATGCAATAACGTTAGTTTACAGGTTAATACAGAGCATCATTGTAAAGATTTAGTAGTGTAGGAAACTTTACAAATTCTGAATGGATTTTTGTAAATCAATGGCACAGGTGTGTTTCGTGGCTGTGTACTATCAGTTTGTACGTAGTAGACTGATAGTATAATTAAAACTAAATTTGAATAACCTCGTCTTGTGCATCATTATTATATTTAAAGATTAATACGTTATGTTTCACATTTATACTGATGAATGCCATACTGGTGTGATGGCTGGGGATGGTATGAGAGATGGTGTCAGTGGAGTATTATAAATGATTTGTTGGGTAACCATATACCTCCTTCGCCGCCCCGCCCCCTCGTCTACCCTCCCCTCCCCTAACCTGCCTTTCCTTCTAGTGAAAGAAAGAACCAAACGATAATTGCACACATGTCAGAACTGCCTACTTTATAACATACAAAAATAAACATTTACACCACAAATAGGTTAATTTATTACTCAGGTTAACCATGACACACACAAACACTGCATTTTTTTTCTCGAAAATTTCGACTGAACTGATCAGTGGTTCCCAAACTGGGAGGTGCGAGGTTGGTACAAGGGGAGGGTAGGTCACGTGGAAAACATACTATACTGTATGTTGATAATCTTTTTTCTTTATTTGGATATTTTCAATAAAATTGTGTAACCTTTTATTTTAGTATATTTCAATCTCCCCCATATATTGTACATGAGATACAAGGATAAAATAATTACGAGTTAGTTGATCTTGAAAGTAAAATAAATGTGAGTACAAGGTGTAAAGTTGATTAAAAGTTTATTAAATTTATTTTAGAAAATGGGACTTGAGGGTTTGGTGAAAACCAAAAGGGGGGAGGGGGGGCGTCATGTGAAAAAAATATGGGAACCGCTGATATACTGTAGATAATCATAATACATAAACAATTTGGATATAATTAATCGATGGTATGGAAAAATTAATCACAAGGAGTAATATATAGACCTCCTAATCTTGATGGAGTTAATGAGCTACTTATTTGGGATGATATGCGCAGGGCTTCTAGACATAGCAAAGTCTGTATAGTAGGCGATTTTAACTTTACGGGAAACTCAGAGGATTTTCTTGAAACAGTTCAAGACCGTTTCCTATGCCAACATATAGCCGAACCCATCCGGGTTAGAATATACTCGATTTAGTTCTGTCAAACAGAGAAAACCTCATTAGTAATGTCGAGGTAGGGAACGAACTTGCAAACAGCGATCACAAAGTACAATTCAAATTAGAATTTAATGGCAGTCGCAAGGAAAATTCCATTAAAGTCCCAGATTTCAGAAGGGCAAACTTTGATAGGTTGAAAAGGCAGCTGAGAGACGGGGTATCACGTTTGGGGGTGGATTACATGACCTCACGTGAGGTGACCCCACACAATGTACCCACAGAGGGCGACCTCACTTTACCTGGAGACCTGACAACGATAACCTCACAAAATATGACGGTTGGGGATGACCTGATCACGAGATCTGAAGCTGACGAGTTCCACAGCAATTTAAAGAATGAGATACTTATTGCACGAAGGCAGAGCATACCATACAGAAAACTCCGATCAAACAACAATGACCCCAAATGGATAAATAATTATTTAAAGATTATTATTGGACAAAGGAAGGCTATAGGTAGGAGAATAAATCGTGGTGAAGACCGAGATAAGAAAAGCATGGAGGAATAGTGAACTGAAGGTAGCAAGGGAGGCGAAGTCAAACCCCAAGGGATTCTTTCAAATGTATCGAACTAAAGCACGAGAAATGATTGAACCAATACAGTGAGATACCGGCGATAGTGAAGAAAATAAATTAAGCGCGATAGTAGTGACTAGTATCGATGTTAGTAAGCAAATAGACAAGCTAAAGTCCCGATGAGATATTTGCCAGAGTATTAAAGGAATGTAAGGAAGAGCTTAGTATGCCCTTAGCAAATTTATTTAACATGTCCTTAAAAATGGGTATAGTACCAGAATCCTGGATGATAGCCAATGTAATACCGATTTTCAAGAACATAAGAAAATAAGGAGTCTGCAATTGGCCGGTTGGCCTGTGCATGGCAGCTCCTGTCGAGAGTTACTACCACTCTCTATCATCCATGAATCTATCTAGCCTCCTTTTAAAACTTTCCAGAGTTCCCGCACTTACTACAAAGTTGCTAAGCTTGTTCCACTCGTCCACCACCCTATTTGTGAACCAGAAGGGAGATAGATCACTATCCTCTAACTAGAGGCTCTAGAGGGGGCAGTTCAAAAGATATCAAAGTCTTTAAACTGCTAAGAGAACATATGGGCACGGGGGTGGAGGAGACTGCAGTGGGAGCGGGTAAACAAGGCGAAAGATTACAGGGAAATAGTGTTAGGAATGATGACAAAACTAAACGCGGTAAGGGGAGGACTCAGAACACGACTAACTTAAATGTATACTATGCGAACAGTAGAAGTATGAGAAACAAAATGGATGATATTAGGGCCTTGGTATGTACCGAAGAAATCGATATAATTGCATTCACTGAAACATGGATCAACCTAGACACACGTGAATTACCAGTCGAATACCAAATTGCGGGTTACAAACTGTTCCATACCGATAGGCAGACCAGGAAAGGAGGCGGAGTAGCAATCTATGTTAGGGATAATCTGAAGTGTGAAATAAATAAGGAAATAAAAACTGAGAGGAATACAGAAACAATTTGGATAGAATTAAGCGACGGTCGGGAAAAATTAATCACAGGAGTAATATATAGACCCCCCAATATTGATAGCGTCAATGAGCGACTTATCTGGGATGAAATGAGCAGGGCTTCCACACACAACAAAGTCTGTACAGTAGGCGACTTTAACCTTGGCCAAATAGATTGGACTGACCTTACGGGTAACTCAGAATCAGGATTTTCTCGAGACGATCCAGGACTGTTTCCTAAGTCAACATATAACCGAACCCACACGGGGTAATAGTATACTGGATTTAGTTCTGTCGAACAGAGAAAACCTCATTAGCAATGTCGAGGTAGGGAACGAACTTGCAAACAGCGATCACAAAGAAATTCGATTCCAGTTAGATTTTCAGGGCAGACGTAAGGAAAATTCCACTAAAGTACCAGATTTCAGAAGGGCAAACTTTGACAGTTTAAAGAGGCAGCTGAGAGAGGGGGTGTCGCGCTTGGCCGTGAACCTGACAGATGACACCGACCTGATAACGAGATCTGAGATTGCCGAGTTCCACGACAATTTAAATAGTGAGTTACTTAATGCACAAAGGCAGAACATACCATACAAAAAACTCAGATCAGACAACAATGACCCTAAATGGATAAATAATTATTTAAAGAACATCATTGGCCAAAGGAAGGCTATAGGTAGAAGGATAAATCGTGGCGAATTCCACCTCCGGGACTATTGTAGGGTATTGGCGAGTAGGGTTAAAACCGAGATAAGGAAAGCAAAGAGGAATAATGAGGTAAGGATAGCAAGGGAGGCGAAGACAAATCCCATAGGATTCTACCAAATGTATCAAACTAAAACACGAGAAAAGATTGGACCAATACGGTCAGACTCCGGCGAGCTCACTGATAACGACGGAGAAATGAGCAATAATTTGATTAAATATTTTTCAACAGTTTTCACCACCGAAAATTTAAACATGATACCCGAGGCACCGACTCTATTCAGAGATAGTGAAGAAAACAAATTAAGTGAGATAGTAGTGACTAGTAACGATGTTAGTAAGCAAATAGACAAACTAAAGCCTAATAAGTCACCTGGTCCCGATGAGATATTTGCCAGAGTATTAAAGGAATGTAAGGAAGAGCTTAGTATTCCCTTAGCAAAGTTGTTTAACATGTCCTTAAAAACAGGTGTAGTACCAGAATCCTGGAGGATAGCGAATGTAATACCGATTTTCAAGAAGGGGGATAGATCACTATCCTCTAACTACCGCCCAATCAGTCTAACATCAATAGTAGGCAAATTACTGGAAGCAATCATTTCAAACTCTATTCGAAATCACCTGGAGAAGCACCGATTGATCAATGATTCCCAGCATGGCTTCACAAGTGGACGTTCTTGCCTAACTAATCTATTAACATTCTTTTCATCAGTTTTCGGGTGGACGAGGGGCACAATTATGATGTGGTATATTTCGACTTTAGCAAAGCCTTCGACAGAGTCCCCCACGAAAGACTAATTAGAAAGGTAGAAGCTCATGGCATCAAAGGTAACATCCTTAAATGGATTAGGGCGTGGTTACAGGACAGGAAACAGCGAGTGAGCATTAATGGCACTAAGTCCCATTGGAGCAACGTCACAAGTGGAGTACCCGAAGGCTCAGTACTTGGACCATTATATATATATATATATATATATATATATATATATATATATATATATATATATATATATATATATATATATATATATATATATATATATATATATATATATATATATATATATATATATACGATTATAGATATCGGCGTAGACAGCAACATAAGTAAATTTGCTGGTGACACTAAAATAGGGTGAGTAATTAAATCTAACGAGGACTCCGCAAAACTACAGGAAGACTTAAACAAATTTTTCAAATGGTCTGAAAAATGGCAGATGAAATTCAATGTGGACAAAATTTGTACTTTACATTTAATGTAAAGTACTTAGTCTAGAACTC